TGGAAATAGCTCGGTTCTTGTGAGTTTGACTTAACTAAAGAGCACTCTCCACTTCTGTGCCTTCTGCTCACTCTGTACCAACCATTTTACTCTCAAGCGTAGAAAAATACTTAATGCATTACTACTTCACCAAATTCATTCATTTTCTAAGTGAAGCACGGACATACATACACACACACACACACACACACACATACGTGCACACACATACGCACACACTGAGACACCATTTTGTTTTTTACCAGATATGTAAATTGTCATGGGGTCAGATGAATAATTATGAAAATAAGCTGGACTTTAACATAGGACTGTGGCCTCAAACATATTTATTATAGAATTTATCACATAATCTTGTAACTATAATTTTTATTTTATTGCCTACCACAGTACCTAGCATGCTGCGTATATATTATATGTTTGCTGGTAAACTGGTAAACACTGTAAATGAGTGTATAATTAAGCTGTATCTCAAAGAATTGTTTGACTCAAGCTGATGCAGAGAATTAACATTCTTGCATCTCAGGTTTGTATATTTTCAATTTTTTGTGTGTATGGGGTGTGTATGTATTTGTGTATGTGTGTGTTCTTGTGTGTGAGTATGGGTGCACATGTAGCAGAAGCCAACCTCAGGTATAGGTCCTTGCTTTCCACCTTTGTGACAGGGTCTCCTGTTCAGCATTTCCTGTGCCAAGCCAGCTGGCCTACATGCTTCCAGGGGTTCTTGTCTGCACCTCCCATCTCACTGTAGAAGAGCTGGGATGACAGACTGTGTTGCTGAACCCGCTTTTATGTGGGTAGTAGAAATCAGAACTCAGCTCCTGACACTTGAGCAGCAAGCACTTTACCTACAGATTCACCTCCCCAGCCCTTAGCTTTGTCTGCTTTCTGTCCACATTTACGCCAACTCATACACTCTTCATATTCATCTAGTCAAACTCCACTTCTCTTCTAGCCCATCCCAGTATTTCCCAGGTACAGTAAGCCCTGCCTCCCTTCCCTTGCCAGGACCCAGACTCAATTGTTCAGCACTTACCTCACTCCAGCAATTGTTTGCACAGCTGTCCCTTCCGCACTAAGAGAGTGTTGTCAGCATTTATCACAGCTGCCAGCTCCCAGCAGCTGGCAATGTAGGCATGGTGTGAGCAGTTGCCTTGGTTTAGCGCTATCTTTGGAGTCTAAAGGTACACAGACCTTCCAGGGGCTGCATGGCACTTGTTTCCAAGTACCAACTTCTCAGTTCTCTGTTCCCTTTGCCTTCTCCCTTGGTGAGCTTCCAGTCCCTCAGGCATTACTTCCTCTGTCCTCCTTCTCCCACTTTACAAAGGCCTGTTCCTTCCCCTTCTCAACCAAAAGTCAGTCTGACTGTGGAGTGTGGCCAGTGAGGAAGAAGGGAGCCTCCAGGACCACAACACATGGTGATTTAAAATATAGATGAAAATACGAAAAGAAATGAATATCATTACAAATTACTACTAAAGACCAGTCATATGACTCAGAAGGTAAAAGCACTTGCTACCAAGCCTAATTTACCGGAGTTCAACACATCAATTCATATATAGGCATCAGATGGTAAATGGGGATTTTCCCCTAAAAGTTCACTCAGAGGACATACCTAAAACCAGTCCATGGATGGACGGACAGACAGCAATTTGAGCAGACCAGTGTCAAGTAATGGGGAACTCAGCTGGACTGAAGCGCTAAGACAGAAGTTCTATGTCTGTCCATCCCTTGACGTCCAATGACAGGTCAATGTGGCCCTCACAGTGTCATGTCCTCTTTCAGGGTCTAGATGTGAGTTCTGCACACTTCATTGGTCTAGCATGTTTTGTGAATCCTCAGAGGTTTTCTGGTGTTTTAATAAACCCATGTGCTCATGTCCCCAGCCTTCTTTGGTAAGTTTATAGGTGGCACTGTTTTACTGTTTGGAATGTTATGTATCAGTCTGTTTCTTGTGGACAGTGCTGAACAGGAGCTGGTGAGTGGCACGTGGTATCTTAGTGTACAACAGGTGCAGTCATCCTGCTTCTGCTTACACCCAAAATGGAGCCAAAAACCTTTTTGTAACATGGACATTGGGGGCTTTCATGTATAATTTTGTTGGTACAATAAAGGTTTCCTTAAAGGGCTTAATGCTGCCAGTTTATCCATGTATATGACTGCGCTTTGGTCATGTTCCTTCTTACCCTCTCTTGGCCTTCCCCATTCTCCTCCTCAAAGCAGTCCCCTTTCCTGATAGTACACATGAGAGAAAACACATGACATTAAGGAGAAAATAATAGTTTTGAGGTCAGAATTGGATTCTCAAAATAGTCTCTGCTACCTACAGTACTCGTTAACTCTTCTGAGGCACAGATTTCGTGTTTCAAAAGAGTGACACGCTGTATGTAGAGCGATGGTCACAAGCCTGATGCACAGCTGATGCCTACTTTGCTAGTGGGCACTTCTTTGGCATTCATTTGTATTTACTACATGAAATACTGAGACTCAGCACCTGATGATCTGCTCAAATGGCTGGGAAGCAGAGACAAGACAGCCCGTCCTCATCCTCCTGAGAAATGCTCCAGGAATTCAGTAGAATAGAGCATATGTAATCTGTGTGAGAGAGAATGTATGTGTTCAAGTGTGTGTGCATGTGTGTGTAGGTCAGCTGTTGACATCCACTGTCAACTCTGTTGTCTACTGTATTTTGTGAGACAGGCTCTCCCACTGGCCTGAAATTCACTGAGTAGGCTACGCACAGTAGCTTGTAAGCTCCAGGAATCCATGCCTAGCTCCATTACCACTATGCCTAGCTTTTTATGTAGGTCCTGGGAATCGAACTCAGGTCCTCATGCTTGCATGGGGAACAGTCTGCTAACTCATCCACCTTCCCAGTCTCCAGTAAATAATTCTTACTCAGAACCCACAGAAGTGGTGGAGGGACTGCTAATATGTCACCAGGGGGCTGTAGTTTACGTCATTTCAAGTGGGTCATCCTGAAAGACCAGTCAGACTACAGCTACTGTTCATTTATCCATATGTTCTGTCCAGGAGGATCTGAGAAAGGCAGGGCTTGCTCCTGTCCCTCCCACCTCGAGTCAGCATTAACCTGGAATGGTACTGAATGTTGGCGACTGAAATCAAACACTTGAAACTTACCATGCTTGCTAAGACACAGCATGCGAACATAACAAAACTGTATTGACATTAGAAAGCCCTTTTACCTAAATAAGCTAAAAAGGAAACCCACCAACTTCCAATACCCTGGCTTATCACCAAGGTGACATTTCACACTGCGGTTCTGTCCTGTCACCCTGGTAGTACTGCTGCGTCCTGCCCAGTGTCCCCTTCCTCTTCTGATCTTGAGCTTCCCGACCTTTTCATTGACCTTCACTAATTGACTTGTCGAACGTTTTCTCAGACTTCAAGTTGGACTTTAAATTCTGCAAGGCACTGTGATCTACAGGACTTGCCTACACTAGCACCGTGATTGACATGTAGGGAGGCAGTAGATGGTCAATAACAGAATGAATGAGTTACCCATGAAAATAATTGTGTGCCTATACCCACTCACTATGCCAGCGTATTGCCTTGTCCCTAAAAACTCATTTATTCATCTCTAAGATACGTTGAGACTTACAGTTTACAACAGTGGGATTCTTTGTACTAAATTTCCTTGCCTGTGAAAAATGAAATAATACACAATGCAAACTAATGACAAATTAAAGGTCAAAATTTAGCATTTGAAGTTAACTATAAAATTAAATGTCATTATATTTAATAATACTATTTGTAAGCTCTATGGAGTCAACTGTATTTTGAACATCAACTTGTTAGGCATTAACTAGGTTTCTAGATGTCTTTCTTGGAAAATAAAGGGTATATCATTTATGCTGTAAATTTTAACAGACTAAAATTATAAAATTAGATTTCTGAGACAGCACATCTAATTTGCGCCCAGAATTCCTTCCTGTAATTTGAATTGAGGTCTTCCATTTGCTTTTGATCACTGCTCTCTAGGGTTATTCCCTCATTTTGTATTCGAGAACCCAGGCTTCTTTTGGTCAGTAAATAGTAAACATTCAGTTATTTATTTAGTAATTCTTACTAATGCCATAAATGTCAGACACAGAATAATGCTGCCCCTCCATCCTATGTACACGAAGCACATGGTTCAAATGAATATTAACTGTGTTGCCCGATTCCTATGCCAGGTATCTCTTGATTTCACACTTTTCTAACAACAGAATCACAACATTTTATAATGTGAACAGATCTTCAGTTTTATGAAAACAAAAATCCAGGGCGTACAGAGATTGTCTTCATCTCTGGCAGCCATGCAGCAAGGCAGAGTGAGAGGGCTGGGGCCGGTCCCCAGAACTCTTAACAGGCTCCACACCTTCATCCTGCTTCTGGGAAGACCAGTCTCCTTTTCCTTTCCTCTGAGAGCTGCCTCCCTGGGGCAACCTGGGGCTAGCCAGTCCCCTAGCCAGGTGAGCTCTCCTCCGGGTCTGCTCATAGGCTGCAGCTTTTCCTTTTATGTAACTGTGGCAAAACACTTGGCGAAACATTTGGGAAGGAAGAAGGACTATTAGAGGGTGTGGAAGGTGTGGCGAGAAAAAGCGACTCCTGTCCTGGCCGTCCTCTGTCACGTGTCACAGCAGGCCCTGAAGCAGGGAGAAGGGGTGAATGCTGGCACCATCTATTTTGCTCAACTCTTTTCTCTTTGGCAGAATTTTGTGCAGAAGCTGCATCATTTGGTGCAGGGCTGACTTTAGGGATTTGGTCTTTGTCCTACAGTCTACATGCCGTTTCTATTCTACATATATATTCTTTTATAGGTAAATATGTTTCCAGTTGATTTTTCCCGGGGAGCCTGGTTTGTTATCACTCCGGATCTCTTGCCGTTTCTCGGGCATCCTATTGGCCCCAGATTCTCTGTATAGTGTTTCTGGTGGGACATGAGGTTTTCCTGTGATTTCTCCCGGCTCCACACTTTACTTTTCTTTCTCTTCTTGCAGGATTTGTGTCCATTACCACCCTCACTGTGCTGGCCTACGAACGTTATATCCGTGTGGTGCATTCCAGGGTGATCAATTTTTCCTGGGCCTGGAGGGCCATTACCTATATCTGGCTCTACTCCTTGGCATGGGCAGGAGCGCCTCTCCTGGGCTGGAACAGGTACATCCTAGACGTCCATGGACTGGGCTGTACAGTGGACTGGAAATCCAAGGACGCCAACGACTCCTCCTTTGTGCTCTTCTTGTTTCTTGGCTGCCTGGTGGTGCCCATGGGCATCATAGCCCATTGCTACGGTCATATTCTGTATTCTGTTCGAATGGTGAGTTGAAAGCTACAGATGTTCCTCTCCAAACCATGTCCACATCCATTATTTGATGTGAAAAGAATCAAACTCTTCCTATATAATCAGTTACTTACTTACCCAAGGTTGAAAGACTTTACAGGACCTAACATTTGGTAGAACTTTGTTCTGTGAATCAATCCCCGATCAGATCAGTGAGGGATGACATTTGCTCCCTGTCCACCACCCTCTAAACCCAGAACAAACGAGCAAAATGCAGATAGACAATACTAACCTTACATTAGGCAGCACCCTCAAAAGTGAAGGAGTCTGAGGGAGAAAGTTATAATGTCCAAAGTTATATTCATTTCAGGATCACATGAACCCACTTACCATAGACTGGTAGAGCTGTAAAGGACTGGAACACACACCAGCAGGTTTCATGTGGGAACCAGGCAGGAAGAGGGTGTAGTGACTGATGCAGGAGGCACAGCCACAGGGCAGCATTGACTTCAGCCGTGTGCCATCTCCTAACTGCTGTGTGTCCGTTAGGGTTTTATATATATGACTGATCAGTGACTGTTTGGGGGAAGTTACAAGCAGAGTAGATCCGAGGAAGGACTGAAGACAGGGGAAGGGACTAAGAATGAGACCTGGCTTTAGCTTGTTATCACCTTAGCAGAGAACTCCATGCAGTTCATTTGTCTGCATCTCAAGCTGCAGGCTTCTCTCTGCAGCGTGTCCGGCATGGCATGAGTTTGTTATCCGGCTGGAGAATTTATAAATCAGTGCTCTGGATAAAATGGTTTCCTCAATCATGAAGAGATTGTTTCCATCTGACCACAAGCCTTTCAGGCTGTGTTCTAGGGACTTGAAGAGCTAGATAAAATAATGTATTTTATCCTTATGAAGTAAGTTAGAAAAGCATTAAAAAACCATTGAAGGGAGCTTGTGAGATGGCTCAGTTGGTAAAGCAATTGCTGTTCAGTGTGAGGGCCTGGTTCTGAATCCCCAGAATCTATGTAAAGCCAGGTATAGTGCAGTGATGTGTATCTGTAACACCAGAAATCCTAGAGCAAGATGAGAGGCAGAGGCAGGAGAGTCTCTAGATTCTCTCGCAGGTCAGAGAGACCCAATGTCATCTCAGACAAGGTGGAAGGTGGGGACCTACACGGGAGGTTATCCTTTGAGCTCCACACATGTGCTGTGGGATGCATGTGCCCATCCACATCCCTTCCCCCCATCTCTCTCTCTCATCTGTTTGTCTGTCTGTCTCTCTCTCTCTCTCTCTCTGTGTCTCTCACTCTCTGTCTCTGTCTCTGTCTCTCTGTTTCTGTCTCTGTCTCTGTCTCTGTCTCTCTCTCTCTCTCTCACACACACACACTGTAAAATATCCTCAGAAGCTCTTTAACTCAACCACAGTAGGTTTTAGTTGAGGGAACTGAAGCCCCGAGGGCTAAAGGCTAGGCCCAGTTTCAGGTCAGAAGTCAGTCAGTTTCCTGTGGTCCTGTGCACGTCGTTTTCCATGAAGGCAGGACAAATGATGGTGGCTGCTTATCTGTTTGAAAAGAAAAGGGATCGTTTTGAGCCCCGTCCTTTCTTTGCTTCCTGCAGTTACGCTGTGTTGAAGATCTTCAGACAATTCAAGTGATCAAGATTTTAAAATATGAAAAGAAAGTGGCCAAAATGTGCTTTTCCATGGTCTTTGTCTTTCTCACCTGCTGGATGCCTTATATTGTGACCCGTTTCTTGGTGGTTAATGGCTATGGACACCTGGTCACTCCAACAGTGTCTATTGTTTCTTATCTCTTTGCTAAATCGAGCACTGTGTACAATCCAGTTATCTATATCTTCATGATCAGAAAGGTAAGCTCTGGAATTGACTGGTTTTCACCCCAGGGAATAAATAGAAATAGATTTTATGTGGTGTGACAACTTAGAACAGTGTTCAGGATAAAGCAAAACAAAAACCCCAAGTTAAGAATTTTGTGTATGTGTGCTGGGGAGATGGCTCAGAGGTTAAGAGTGCCTGCTACTCTTCTAGTGGACTAAAATTGGAGTCCTAGCATCCATGTCAGATGCTTCACAACTGCCTATAACTTTGGCTCTACGGGATCTAGCGTCCTCTTCTGGCCTCTGCAGGTATCAACATACATGTGTTCACACACACACACACACACACACACACACACACACATACATATATATAAAATGAAAAATCTTTTAAGAAAGAAATAAAAAAGCAAAGACTCAAGAAGAAATATAGAATATTTCCAAAGGAGAAAAGCAGGCCCAAGATCTACCAATATATGTACACTATTTGTTAGGTAATATTAATTAATATTTAGTTTACCAGAAAATAGTTTGGATATGCTACTAATAATAGTTATGACTCAAATAATAACTAAAAATTACTATACTCTGAAGGTTCCACCCATTATCTTTAAAACCTCCACAAAATAGACACTAACTCTATCCCATACTTTATTTATGGATTGTGAAATGAAAGACCACTGGCACAGTGGACAAAATTTAAATGCATTCACCAAAAATCATTTGTTTGTGCCTTTCTCCCAGCTGATGAATTATGAATCAAAGCTTCTAAACTTGAGTTTGAATTCACCAAATCTGAAAGTGTAGTTTAAAAGTGTCTATTCTGATACACAATGTCTGAGTTTCTGGTACTCTACATATCTGATGAGCTCCCCACTGGTCCTGATGGTTCTGATTCCTAGTAACACACTTTAAACAATAATCCTAAATAATATAACAAACTGGCAGAAAAAAGTAAGACAGGGGTTCTTCCCATGAGGAGCTGGATGTGAAGAAACACATTCTGGCTTACAGACTTGACTCAACTCTGACAGCAATGTATCTCGAGCACTGAACTTGACTTGTAAAATGATGGTTTGCTGAATACATAACCGAATGTGTATTCTAAAAGAGTCATATAAGCCAAATGTGCCCTGCATATAGTTGGTGGGGACACTAAAGAACACAGAAGTCAATGTATCTGTTTATTGATGTTTTCAGACCTGGGGAAGCTCCTGCAGTAAACAAAAAGGGTAATAAGTTGATTTCAAATCGGTATACTCTGTTGGCTGTGGTAGACTTAATACTTAGCAAACAGCTCAGATTTCAGCATGCCGACAAAGAAGCACTGTTCACTATGAGGCCAGAGACTGCAGGTGGTGCGTTTACTCATGTCAGGAAGTTTTCAGTGAATGTTCCCTGCACTTTGTGATGGTCCTCTGTTTGAACCTTGGCTACTCAGGCTCTTGTAGAAGGGAGAGAGCAGAGGGGAAACCCAAGAGGGTCTCAGAAACATGGAAGAACCCCTTGTCTGCTGTGAGTAGTGTTTCAAGATCTCAGCCCAGTGGCTGTCACTCATGGGCTGCTCACCGAGTATTTAATGACTCAATTCCTTAAACCCAGAGGTAAAACTGACCTCCAAGAAGGTTTACATACATTGAAACCATGGAGACCACAAAGGATTAGACTATTCTTTTTCATCTGGTTAGTAAGAATTATAGTAAATGAAAGACCTAAAAGTCAATGGGGGACCTTGGTAGATCTGAGCATTACTGTATAACTCCATCCCATGCCATCTAATAAAGAAAGGGGGTGGGTGGGGCTGGGGAGATGGCAAGTGTGAGGACCTGACTTCAATCTTCAGCGCATACATAAAAAGCCGGGTGTGGCGGTGTGTGTTCGTAATCCAGCACTGAGAAGATTATATGGGTCACTGGGATTCACTGGCTTAAGGGGCAAGCCTCAGGTCCATGTCTCAAAAGACAAAGTATGGGCCACCTGAGATTGGCCTTGGACTCCACATGCATAGGCATGCACATGTGTACGTACACACACACACACACACACACACACACACACACACACACACACATACACACACACGGGGTGGAGGGTGATAGATTAAGTTGTCTTGAATTTTACTTCAGATTAAAGGCCAGGTATTCACTTAGTAATTGGCTTTATTGCTCCATTTTTCTCTGCAGTTTCGGAGGTCCCTTCTACAGCTCCTATGCTGCCGACTGCTGAGATGCCAGAGGCCTGCTAAAAACCTACCAGCAGCGGAGAGCGAAATGCAGATCAGGCCCATCGTGATGTCACAGAAAGATGGGGACAGGCCAAAGAAGAAAGTGACCTTTAACTCCTCTTCCATCATTTTCATCATCACCAGTGATGAGTCCCTGTCTGTGGACGACAGTGACAGAAGCAATGCATCCAAGGCCAATGTCATTCAAGTCCGTCCTTTGTAAGACTGAAAGACGAGTCTTGTATCTGTCACAAAATGTCTACTATCAGGACGGCCCTGGAGTCCCCATTTGGTATAGTAACCGCAGAACCTCGTGGCCTACCCGGAAATCCGAATTACCCATATGCTATCTGAAGCGGTTCAAGAAGCGACTGTGCAAGACAAATTATTTTCATTCAATGGGTGCTTTATCACACGAGAAACTCCTGGTGGCACAAAGTGAGCGTTTGGCACCATCGTCTACTATGCCAGGATTTAACCTTCCAATGACCATATTTGCCAAAGCACATTATACATTCTGTTTCTCAAATCCAGTTCACTGTATAAATGACTGTCTCATACCCATGTGTGCAATGGCTGGGGCAGCTGGGGTATGTGATGGTGTTGGGTCCTCTTCTGTGCCATGCTGTGTGTTTGACCAATTCAGTTTATTAAGGAGGTAATAAATCAATCCCTACTTTTCTCTGAAAACCAAAGGCTGTTGTCATGTGTGTAGTGTGACCGACAAGGCAGTCAGATTAAGAAAGCAAGTTCCAGAAGGTACTGTAAGAAGCGTCGTAGAAAAACAGAGACTCGCATTGGTCATGTCGATGGTTTGATGATACCACAGTGGAGAATGTACATAGAAAAAAGGGTGGTAAAGACAGATTGATACTTCCATCTATTCATTTCAGAAATTAGTTTGACAACGTCTCCTTTCCTTTTAATAATTTCCCACTATTTTGTCAAAACACCTGCCGAGAAGTTCCCAGTAAACAAAGTTACATTCAGAGAGAGATGAAAATAAACATTTCAGTGTGTTAATACCATGCGATATTATTTAAATTTTAGTACATTTATTTATTTATTGTATGTGTATGTGTATGTGTGTGTGTGCATGTGCACACTCATGTCATATTGTGCATGTGGAACTCAGAGGACAACTTGTGGGAAACAGTTCTCTCCTTCCACCATGTGGGTCCCAGGGATCGAACTCAGGTCGCCAGGCTTGGCAGCAAGCACCTTTTCTCACTCAGCCATCTCACCAACTCCATACAGTGCGTTTTTAAATTTTCATTGCTTATCAGTAGGATCCCGGATATCAGATGGGCCACATTAGTGAGGAGAGCATCTTCCCACGTGTCATTGTTCACACCTGGAGGAGAACAGCACATCCTGCCCCCAAATATGCTCCATTTTGTGGGGTTACCTTGAGTAGAAAGTCACTGAGAAGAGACAATAGAAGAGAAGCCTCCCCTGACTTGCCAAGGTAACTAAGGCTTGCTGCTCCAGGGGTTCCAATCCCTCTCCTTTGTCCTATCATGTCCCTATACCTTTACTTCTTGTTGAAGATGATGTAAATCAGGGCTTTCTACAGAAGCTTACTTTCTTTTTAAATGTTTTTTAAAATGTACTAGATTTTTATTTAAGCTGTTTCCTCACAACATTGTGTATCACACAGATTCCTCCCTTTTATATATGTTTTTAACTTAAAATAAAATTACATCATTTCCTCCCTTCTCTTTCTTCCCTCTAATCCCTTCCATGCATCCCCTTGCTACATCTGGAAATTATGGACTCTAATGATTTTTTAATTATGGGGGGGACAGTCTATGCGTGGTTATATGCACATGGGTACAAGAGCCCAAGGAAGCCAGAGGCATGAAATTAGGGGCAGTTGCGAGCTGCCTGACATGGGTGCTGAGAACAGAACTAGAAGCTTCTGCAAGAGTGGAATATGCACTAACAGCTGAGCCATCTCTCCAGCCCCTAAGCCAGCTCATTTTCTGAGCGTCTCCCATGTACATATGAAATACACATGCTTCTAAACTTCAGTTTGTTCCCTTTTGACAATCTGTTATAGTAACTGCAGCCAACAAACTTAAGAAATAAAAGGAACAATTATACTGTTTGTTTATTTTTGCAGTGCCAGGGAATCCAACCCAGAGCCCTGGGCACGCTAGGTAAGCACTCTACTACAGAGCTACATCCCCTTTCTGAAAACAATATTTTTCTTTCCCTATGCACCAAGCCTAGATTATTAGGACTCAAGGATGTCTTTGACGATATGAAAATGCAAATTGTTTTATCTTTATTACCTCAGTCTTTATTACCTATAAAACTAGTATTGTAGGCCGGGCAGTGGTGGTGCACACCTTTAATCCCAGCATTTGGGAGGCAGAGCCAGGTGGATCTCTGTGAGTTCGAGGCCAGCCTGGTCTACAGATCGAGATCCAGGACAGGCACCAAAACTACACAGAGAAACCCTGTCTCAAAAACAAACAAACAAAACCTAGTATTGTAGTTTTGAAAATTAACAATGTTTGAAAAGAGCTTCCAAGTGTACCAGTCAGCCTACCGAAGAAAGAACCAAAGAGTCTCCACACTGCACTTTGAAGATGACACCAACTGTCACAGTGTGATGTTCAAGGCATCACTTCTGTGTGTCTGAAATGGAATGAACTATGTCTCCATGCTTCTGCAAGACAGCCTTCCCGTCTCCTTTTCACTCTTGGATATATTTCATTTACTAATAACAACCCTTTCTTATTCTTCACTTGACATGCCATTAATAGCCCTTTCTTCAAAAGGTAATAATTCTGGTATCTGGAGCCTGGGAAGTAAATTCATCCTGGGACTCTTTGGAACAGCCTGCCTTTCATTTCACACCCCTGATTCTAGCAAGTGCTCTGAACCTGTGGTTAGGCAAACCCCATCGACTGCTACAAAGAGGAAGTAGCACGCCAGGCAGGCTGTGGTTTTCAGTCCAGAATGTTGTTGCTCCTATAATGTCCCATATACAAAAACTTGTTTTTGAGAAGTGACAGAGACCTTGGTTATTGCAATTTTAATTTAAATTGACCCAGCCCAAGCATGCAAAGGGATGGAAACACTACAAAAACAGCACAGCATCTCCCCTCATTCAGCTGACAAACACACAGAAGTTCTACATGGAACTTGGTTATATGCTGACAATTATTTTCCAGTAGTGAATTAAATGTGCCAATGGAAACATGCATTTGGTCCCTGATTTTGGAGAGTAGTCAAGCATTTTTTACCCAGAACTTTGATGCTTTGGTTGGTGAAATGGGGAATTTTTCCTAGTGACTCCATGGAACTTGACAGAAGACACTTGTGCTCCTATTCCAGTATCCCGTGGTTCCAGTCCATGGCAGCCTTTTCAAGAATCCCAGAAGTCTCGGGGGCATGTGCTGCACAAGTAGGTAGGCACTTCCAATGGCTACCAGGGATCCAAGGCCGAAGAGTCCTTTGTTTATCACCTGAAAGGATGGCAAACATCCAAAACCGTTCAGCCAGAGGTTGAATCTTGAGATAAATTTCCTTCCTACATCACAGATAAGTGTGCAACTCTCCCCCTATATATCACAGACAAGTGTACAGGTGTCTTCCTACATCACAGATGAGTGTGCAGTTCTCTCTATATATCACAGACAAGTGCACAGGTGTCTTCCTACATCACAGATGAGTGTGCAGTTCTCTCTATATATCACAGACAAGTGCACAGGTGTCTTCCTACACCACAGATGAGTGTGCAATTCTCTCTCTATATCACAGACAAGTGCACAGGAGTCTTCTACATCACAGACAAGTGTGCAGTTCTCTGTTGCTTTTAACTTGAAGCAGCAACTTGATTGTTTGACCTCTGCTCTGTCCCCGCCCTTATTTCAGTGCACTCTGCCTGCTTGTCTCTTCTCCTTTGCATGTTTATATCATTGAGGTCAGGGACCTATGTTATCGGGTGTATAGGTATGTGTGTTGTGTGTACATAGGTAGGGGGTGCACTTTTGCGTACACATGGTAGAGGCCAGAGATTAATGTGAGGTGGTTTCCCCCTTCTCTCTCCAATTTATTGTTTTGAGACAGAGTCTCTCACTGAACTTAGAACTCACTGTTTTGGCTAGCAAGCCCCTGGAATTTACCCCGACCCTCACCCTTGAACAGGGTTACAGATGTGTACCGTGTCCAGCTTTTATGTGGGTGCTGGGGGGGTTCTCATCACAGGCTCTCATGACTGTGCAAAAAGAATTTTACCCACAGAACAATCTTCCCAGCCCCTATTTTATTCATCTTTGTGGAGGTAGAGCTTACAGGTAGATCTTCATTCTTTCCAACCCATTCTCTACACAGCAAAGTCACTGACCTAAAATCCTAGCCTGGATGTTTAAGCCTTCTTAGGTCTCTCAGCTTTCCGTAGACCGGTCTTCTTCCTGTTTCAGCAGGATGCTGAAAGTTCTACTTACCTCTCCAGCTTTCATCTGGCCACTCTTACACCCTGGGCCTCCTGGCTAGTGTATCTTCAGCCTTCATTACCTAGCCTATACTCATATTCTCCTTGCTCATGAGGCATTCCCCACCATATTTGTCCACCTTTCCTTATTAGTTCCCGAGCCACAGGTAGGATTGGCACTACATCTTGTCCACTGAAGCATCTGGCTCAGTATATATGCACCCAATAAACTATCCACAAGTGAAGTTATAAAATTCCCAAAGTAGTCAGGAATCTGAATTGCATTTAATGGCACCCCTGGGTCAGCTTCTCAAAATGAATGCCTTACTACATTCCACTAGATAGTGTGTTACAAGTGACACAGTTCTGTCTAATTTTACAAGTTAAACCCACAAAGATACCACATAATGCAAAAGTCAAGAGTAGCTCACGATGCTAATACCAAGTAAAAAGCTGAGAAATATCAGCCTCGTTTTCCTCTTCAAATTTCTCTCTCTCTCTCTTTTTTTTTTTCATCATGCAGAGTGTGTGCTCTGTACTCTGTAGACTCAGGGCAGGTTTTACTTGGAAGACAAGCATAATGTCTCTGTCCTGTCATGTCTGTATTTCCCTGAAATATATATGACCATGAAACTATATGACACTTCAACACATCACGGTTTTCAATAGTCAAATTCTTCCAACCTTTTTTTGCCAATGCCAGCGCAGCACCGCCTCATGGTATCTTATTCTGGTGAAGGCGACCTGCAGGGAGATTTAAAAGCATGTAGTGTATTCTTTAATAGCTACACAGAGAGAAAATGAGGCAAAGTCTTTAATACAGTCCTTACCATGGTATAGAGAGGGATAAAGGTAGATGGCATAATAGCATGAAGAAATTTATCTAGGATCCTTTGAAACAGGAACCACCTAGAGTTGACATGTGCTCGCATCTGCAATGACAGGAGTTTTAAAAGGAGTACCTTAAAAGAAGCAGCTTTCTTTCCTGACAACAGTTTTCTACTAGTCTTCATTCACAGTTGTCCCAACAAAGGATGCTAACACAAGAGTCAAATAAAATCCCATTTCCATAATAGTCATCCCCAAGTCCCCTTAAGAAATTTCAGGAGTACAAGATATAAAAAATTCTGTTTCAGCAAAAGATATATTGAACCAGAATTTTGAATGACCTGTAAGTTCAAAGGTTTGATCGATTACTGTTGCCCTCTACTTAACTGGCAACATTGTTTATGGCAACAAGGATGACTTACAACTGCATCTGTCCTGGTTTATATTACTACTTAGGACAAGTGTTGTGTTATATTAAACTGGCTTTGTGTGTGTGTGTGTGTGTGTGTGTGTGTGTGTGTGTGTGTGTGTGTGTGCACTTGTTGAATGTGTGTGGTATATGTGCATAGGTATGCACTCTTCTATATGCACATGCATGCAGAGACCAGAAAGGAGTCCTGATTGTTGTAGAATATTATTTTAAGATGTGTTACATTTGTTTATGCTGTAGAACATTTGCTTTAATGATGCAAAGATGTGTTGCACTCTTTTATGTTGCATTTGTTTAACTCTGTGAAGCTGTGTTACTTTGCCTGCCTAAAACACCTGATAGTCTAATAACGAGCTGAACAGCCAATAGCGAGGCAGGAGAAAGGACAGGCAGGGCTGGCAGGCAGAGAGAATATATAGAGGGAGAAATATGGGAGGAGGAGGGGAAGGAGAGGAGGATGTAACAGGCCAGCCACACAGCCACACAGCCAGCTACAGAGTAAGCGTGAAAGTAAGATATACAGAAGTAAGAAAAGGAAAAAGCCCAGAGGCACAAGGTAGATGGAATAAATTAAAGTTAAGACAAGCTGGCAAGAAACAAGCCAAGCTAAGGCTGGGAATTCATAAGTAAGAATAAGCCTCCATGTGTGATTTATTTGGGAGCTGGGTGGTGGGCTCCCCCAAAAGAGCAAAATCAACTAACACCTGCTCTATCACTCTCCTCCTTATTCCAGCAAGGCAGTCTCTCATTAAACTTAGAGTTATTCTGACAGCAAGAAAGGTCCTCACTACTCTGGAGTTCCAAGGGCATGGCCACTCCAGCTTTTTGCATGCATCTTGGGAATTAGAACTCAGACCCTCATTCTTGAGCAGCAAATGTCCTCAACCAGAGTCATCTCCCAGCCCATGACCTACTTTTGGAGTCAGGCAATATATATCAACAAAGTCTTCCAGTATCTTCTAGAACTCAATTGTATATGTTACAACTATGCCAACATTATTTCTTTCTGTCTTCAAGAGAAATGGAAATGGCCACTATTTCCCTTGTTTGTTGTGTAAACTTTTCCATTTTCCTATTTTAAAGCAATAATAACAATCATTTGTCATGAGACTTTGACATGACTGGCTTAAAATGAAGTGTAAGTCTTAATAGTACTCATCTTTCTGATCAAGAATTTCTTTGGTATTATATACTGTTTTTATTCTATGGTATTCTAAATACTCAGGATATTCTGTTAAGAAAAAGTCATTCAGGCCTTTAATACCAGCATTCAGGAGGCTGAGGCAGGTGGATCTCTGAGTTCAAGGTCCCTCTGGTCTACAGAGCGAGTTCTAGGACAGCCAGGACTGTTACACAGAGAAACGCTGTCTCAAGAAAGAAAGAAAGATAAAGAAAAAGAAAAGTCATTCAATATTTCTAAGATTTCACAATTATTTTAATGTATCTCAAATTCATATTTTGAGAATAGAATATGGCTACCTCCTAAATGTCTGAAATTTGGACCTGTGAAATTTTAGATGTTTTGCTATCTCTGTTATCTTCAAAGTGCTTCTGAAATCAGGTATAAATGATGAGTCTTTGTCATTGGCTACCTATGTTTAAGAAATGGTGTGTGTGTGTGGGGGGGGGGGGTGCGTACATGTTCATACTTGCATGTGTCTACTGTGTGTGTACATGTGTGCTTTTGTCCACACATATACTTATGCAACATGTATGAGACAGGGCTGGAGCAAAGGAAATAAAAAGCCTTCTTTCTAGTCTATTGGTAAACTGTCTCATGGAATGGAGCCAAACTTTTCTCACCTCTAAGTAATTGTACATAGACAGGTCTGAAATTGCATGGTCATCTGGAATCCTAAATCTTGAGAATTCAGGAAGGCACACACCTAGAAATCAAAATTAAATAAAACATATATGTGTTTAAAGAATATACAGAAAATATTCCGGAGAGATGGCTCAGTGGTTAAGTGCACTGGCTGCTCTTTCAAAGGACCTGAACTCTGTTCCTAGCACCCATGTTGGGTGGCTCACAACCACCTGTAACTCTGGCTTAGAAGATCTAATGCCATCTTCTGACCTCTGAGGGCACCTGCGCACACATGCTACACACTCACACACAGACATATAAATAAATCTTTTAACGAGCAAAATAAAAAATTTTAAAAACTGCTGGTCTCCAGTGAGGTCAAACTAAACAGTGCTCCCTCTTGCAAAATTTTAATCTTATAAAACTATTGATAACGACAACAACCTACAGTTATTGAGCAATGTCCATTGAGTATTTCCTGTTGTGATCAAATAAAGGTTAGAATAAAACTAATATTAGGATATTGATTGTTTAAATCATAATTTCCCTTATTTCCCAAATGGAAAAAAATTGTGATGGTTAATCTATATTGAGAACTTGATTGGATTTAGAATTACCATGGAAACACATCTCTGGACATGTGTCTATAGGGATGATGCCAGAGAGGTAGAACTGAAGAGGAAAGACCCAGGATTGGGGATTTAGCTCAGTGGTAGAGCGCTTGCCTAGCAAGTGCAAGATCCTGGGTTCGGTCCTCAGCTCCAGAAAACAAACAAACAAACAAAAAAACCAAAACCAAAAACAACAACAAAAAAAACCAAAAAAAACCCAACCAAACAAAAAAAACAAAACGAAGAGGAAAGACCCCCCCCCTTAGTGTGGGCAGCATTAATCCAATGGGCTGGTGTCCCAGAATGAATAAAAAGGAGAAAGTGGAACAAGCACCAGCAATTCTTTGCCTCCTGACTGCAGATGTGACTCACACTTCTGCCTCCATGCCTTCCCTCTGTCATGAATCACAGCCCTCGAACTATAAAGCAAAGCAAACCTTTTCCTCCTCAAGTTGCTTCTCTAGTTACAGTAACAAGTAACTGCACAGGTTCATATGACAACTTTAAACGATGCTCAACCCTCCACTTTTACCCTTTTTTTGTGTGTTTCTTTGAGGGCTTGAGTGTTTCTGAGGGTGTTCTGTGAAGGCTGTAGGCAAAGGTGGACCACCAGAGCTGGAAGGCAGAGAAAGGTGCACAGATCCACCTTGATCTGCTGCTGCTCTGAACTCTTATCTGTCAGTGGGTCACTGCTACTGGGAAGTGGTAGGACCTTACAGGCACGAGGCCTACCAAGAGGTCCTTGAGTCACTGGAGGCATGCCCTTAGAGGGGGTTGTGGGTCCTAGGTCTCCCTGTCCTTCTCTGTCACTTCCAGATCAGGAGGTGAGTGACTTTTTCTCTGCTGCTGGCTAGCTACCATGATATTTCCTCTCCACGGGCCTAGAGCAAGGGGCCAACTGATCATAGACAAGAACTTCTGAAACTGAGAGCCACTGTTGTAGAATATTTTAAGTAGGCAAAGATGTGTTACATTTGTGTATGCTGCAGAATATCACTTCAACTGTGCACAGGTGTGTTACTTTTGTTTATGCTGCACTTGTCTAACAATGTAAGGCTGTGTTGCATTTGTTTCACCTTGCCTGTGTAAGGCACTTGATTAATAAAGAGCTGAATGGCTAATAGCTAGGCAGAGAAAGGATAGGTGGGGCAGAGAGAATAAATAGTAGGAGAAATCGAGGCTCAGGAGAAAAGAAGAAGGAAGAACGAGAGAAGAAGGAGAAGAGAATGAGGGACATGCCTGTGGCAAGAAGTCAGACAGATGCCAGACAGCCAGACATAGAGAAACAGTGAAAGTAAGATATACAGAAGAAAGGTAATAAGCCCCAAGGCAAAAGGTAGATAAAGAGAAACAGGTTAATTTAAGTTAAAAGAGCTAGCAAGAAACATGCCTAAGCTAAATGTGTCATAACTAGTAATAAGTCACTGTGTCATGATTTGGGAGCTGGTTGGTGGCTCAAAAGAAAAAATCTGGTAAATGTCACAATAAACCTTTTCTAAGTTGATTATCCCAGGTATTGCTATAGTAATTGAAAGATGACCAGCACTTTCCTCCATAAATTCTAGGTTTCCCTCTCTGGGTGGTCATTTTCTGGAATGGGCAATGACTATGGCAGAGACACTATTAGAGTGCCAGGATCATAAGTCAGCCCACAACTGATCATCTGGGCTAGTCTACGTTCTCCTGAGAAAGTATACTTACTAAGATCGTTATTGAATTTGTCCATTAACTCATCAAATACCAAGCAGTCTTCAAAGCCCTGAAACAAGAAAAATGGGGAAAAATAAGGCATAAATAATGAAACACTTCATAGCAATTATAAAGAGAAGTAGTATCAGCCAGTATAGTGCATAGACTGGGGATCTTTAATGTAACAGACAGGTTCCCATTTTATGTCTAATCATGATACAAAGACCAGTTGCTGGACCCTCATGCTGTCTCTGCCTCATTGATATCTGCAATGATTTTAATGATTTGAAAATGAACAACAAAAAATTAAATATATCTGTGATTTTGGTGGATCCCAATGCTCCTTTAAGACTAACAATTACATGTCTCTACCATGAGTTAGTTGTAAACTAGTCAGGTCTGTAAGATTCATGTATAGAATGATTTATTGAGCTGAGCATATAGCTCAGTGGTTGAGGACTGTGCCCACCATGCATGAGGCCTTAGGTTCAATCCCCATTACTGTTAAAAAAAATTAATGATAGGATCAAATTAATTTAGTTCCTATAACTCAAATTTAAAACAAAATTTGAACACAAAGAACTTGAAAAATTACTAAGGTGATACTAAATGAATAAGAACCCCGAGTTCCATTATCTACAAATTCAAACTACAGTTTTAGAGACAATGTAAAAATACATAAAATATACTTTTCATATCAATTATAGTGATTGCATTTAAAGTAGCAAATGTATTCTTCAACGAATATCTGCAAATTCTTTATGGTATAGGAACTTTGACGTAAGAGATGACATATAAGGCAAAGACAACAGTTCTACATTTTTACTTAAAATAATTTGTTTTTTTCTCTGCAAGTATTGGGGTAGACATTAGTAAAGTTGTAGTGTTAGAGGTGAAAGGTGGATATCAGATAAGTTATGAAAAACACATTGTGTAATGAATCCCTGAGGCAAAATTTGAACTACTTCCAGAACTTGGGCATTTATCCACAATGCTATAACTGATATTTACTTATGTCCTTATGAAACAAGTGCCTGAAATTGCTTTGTAGAAAAGTCACAAGCTACTTTTAATTGGAATATTGTAGAGGCCCAAATTACTCAGGGTCTGAGAATCTGAGCTTGCTTTACCCAGCAGGGCTATATAAGGGGATGATTTACCATGGTTACTAGATGTTTGGAAGGATCTATACTACTCTGTGCAGTGTGCTTTGATCTGGCAAGGGGGAGGTCTTTTGCCCTGCCTGTTGGAATTATTATGAAAAGCTCCTTTGAATAAACAGAAAAGGCCACTGGGTATTGACCCAGGTCTTCCCTAAACTATCCTGTGTTTTGTCATTCTCCTCTTCACTATCTTTCTATCTAATATTTTCTTATCCCTCTCTCCTCCTCATAGGAACCCTTGAAATGGTGGGAGTGGGCTCCCACAGATGATGCCAGAACTTGGGACTTGGGTGTAGAGGAGACAAGGAAGAGAGAGTAGGGGCCACCATGGAAGCAGTTGGACATGTCTGGTTACGAATTAAGGATTAAGCAGTAGTACTCTAGTCTTCAGGAGTAAAATTATATATATAAAGCAGAGCAGCTAAAAGTTAAGGTTCTTAGAATTTATAGAGGATCTGTGTCCTTGGTTTTCTGACTATGGGACTCTGGACACAGAATCATGAGGGAGGATTGGAATTGAAATGCAACAACATTATGAAGAACATGGGACAGAAAAGATCCGAATGGAAGCTTTTGGCCTGTGGGCACTAGTTCTGGACAGTTTGGATCTGAGTCCTGAGTGGCAGGGGGAATTTTCCCTGAGGCAGACACAGATGAAACAAAACCTTCCACTCTGCCAGAGCTGCCACCAGATGGGAATGCTTTTTTAAAATCCATTCAATCAGGGTCAGTCCCCTCTTGGCAATGAAGCCGAGTTTATGGAATAGAAGTCTTGAGATGAGACAAGGGAGGAAATGAAGGGCTTGAGAGACTTAGTAATTTCTCTTTCTCAAAAATTGGAGGCTCTTCAGGTCTTTCCTTCTCAAAAGGGTACTCATCTTCCTTCTGTAATGGCGGAATTAGACTCATCTGGGGGGTCATCTATCAGAAGGGAAAAGTTGCCCATAATTGCCCTGGTGCAAAAGCCTCCTGGAACATGGAAAACCCTTGCTGCTAGTCCAGCATCTCCCCTTCAAGCCAGTATTAGAGAAGCAGCTAGCAGAGGGGAGAGGGTGCAAGAATTTCAAATGTTCCCTGTAATTGAGCAGCAAGATGCCCAGGATAGTATCATGTTAGTACATGTTCCGATTCCTTTTAAACAATGTAAGGAGTTAAAAACAGAATGCAACCAATATGGCCTGACCACCCTGTTTATGCAATCTTTGTTAGAAAGCCTAGCTCTAGAAGCCTTGCCTCCTGGGGACTGGAAACAGATGGCCAGAGCTTGCCTGTCAGGCAGATATTATTTGCTTTGGAAAAGTTAGTTTGTGGAGGAATGTCAGGCCACAGCTAAAATAAATTGGGTCCAACAGATTCCCATTACTTTGATATACTTGCCAGAGAAGGTCTTTATCGGGAGATAGGTCAACAGTTAAATTTTGATATGGCAGTGTATGCTCAGGTAAATGCAACTGTCAAAAAGGCCTGGAATAAGCTTCTGTTGTCTGGAAGACAGACTAAAGATTTATCAAAGATAAGACAAGGGCCTGATGAATTGTTTCAGGACTTTGTCTCTAGGCCAATGCAGACAACAGGCAGGTTAATTGGGGATTCAGAAGCTGGACTTTTGCTTGTTATACAGTTTGCCTATGAAAATGCTAATGCTACTTATCAAGTTGCTTTGAGACATTTTAGAGAGAAAGGAAACATCTCTGACTATATTTGAGTTTGCTCAGATATAGGGCCCTCGTATAATCAGGGAATAGTCATGGCTGCAACATTACAGGGGAAAACAGCCAAGGATGTTCTTTACCAGCAAAGAAATTATGGCTCAAGACAAGGGAGAGCTGTTGGACCACTAGGAAGCTGCTTTGGGTGTGGCCAGATAGGACACAAGGTAAAAAGGTGTCCTGAAAGGGGAAAAAGCTTAAGGGCAAATAAGAAACCTGGATTGTTCCTGAGATGCAAAAGAAGGATGCATTGGGCCATAAATGTCTATCAAGAATGGATACCCAGGGGAATCTTTTCGAGGGAAATGGATGGAGGGGCCAGCCCCAGGCCCTAACAGAGTAGATTTCTGGGATAATTCTGCAGTCCCAGCAAAGAAATACATTCAGGACCTCTACAGAGCAACCCAAGGTAGTGCTGGATTAGATCTCAGCTTTTCTATCTATATGGTTTTGACTCCTGAAATGGGGATGCAAGCCCTCCCTACTGTTGTTTATGGGCCTTTGCTGGAAGGCACTTTAGGGTTATTGTTGGGAAGAAGTAGTACTACCATGCAGGGGGTCTTCGTTGCTCCTGGAGTAATTGATGCTGATTACATTGGAGAATTTAAGGTGATGACTCACTCACCTAAGGGGATTTCTGTAATAAAGACAGGCCAGAGACTTGCACAGTTAATTTTACTTCTTCAGGTGCAACAAGAAATCCTGTTAAAAGGGATAAGAGAGGAGAAGCTGGATTTGGTTTGTCAGATGCCTATTGGCTACGAGCCATAGGTCCACAGCATCGAGAACTCACTTTGATTATACACAGAAAAAGTTTCTCAAGTTTTCTAGACACTGGTGTGGATCTGTCAGTTATTACTGCTGGTAAATGGCCTTTCATGTGGCCAAAGATGGAAACTATCACACAGCTGCAAGGGATTGGACAAACCCAGTGTCCTGAGCAGAGCAGCAATGAACTCTCCTGGAAAGATGAGCAAGGTGATGAAGGAACCTTTCAGCCATACATTGTCCCCCACTTGCCTGTAAATTAGTGGGGTTGAGTTGTTATGGGTCATATGAGAGTATACTTATATAGCCCCAATAAAATTGTCACTAAACAAAAGGTTCCTGATCAGGAGTTAGTAAAAAAATAGCGATGATCAAATGTCATCTTTGCTCTCTAAAGAAAGGACTAATAGGGATGGATTAGAGTATTTTTAGGAAGGGTCATAGAGCACCCTGTACTCCATGCAAATCCTATAACTTGGAAATCTGACAATTCTATTAAGGAAAATTAATGAAACCATACAGCCAATGAGAGTTTTGAAGCCTGGATTGTCTACCCCTACAGCCATACCAAAAGATACTTATAAAGTTATTTTGGATTTAAAGGATTGTTTGTATACCATCCCTTTGGCTCCCCAAGATTGTCAAAGATTTGCATTTAGCATTCCATCAATTAATTTTAAAGAGCCCATGAAAAGATTTCAGGGAGGTTTTACCCCAGGGAATGATCAATAGCCCAACATTGTATCAAAACTTTGTGGCTCAAGCTATCCAAAAGGTTAGAGGTCAACTTCAGCAAGTTTATATTATTCATTATATGGATCATATTTTGCTTGTGCAAAAAGACAAAGAAATTTTGCTTGACACCTTTGGACACCTTCAGCACTGCCTTACCCCTGCAGGGTTAATTATTGCTCCAGAGAAAGTGCAAAGACAGCCACCTTTTCAATTTCTAAGATATATATTATACCTTAAGGAATTAAAGTCTCAAAAATTGGAAATAAGAAAGGATGGGTTAAAAACTTTGAATGATTTTCAAAAGTTATTAGGGGACATTCAATGGTTGCAACCTTGTTTAAAAATATCTACTGGTAATTTGGAACCTTTTAAATGATATTCTAAAAGGAGATAGTGATCCTAATTCTCCCAGAAAGTTAACTGAAAAAGGTAGACAGGCTCTTTTACATGAGAGTGCTATTCAAAATCAGCAAGTATGTTATATTAATTATGATCTACCTTGGCATGCATATATTTTGCCCATGAGACATACTCCTACATCAGTGTTACGCAAAACAGTCCTCTTTTATGGTTACATCTTCCTGTTTCACCAGTTAAGGCATTAAATCTATGTTATGAAGCTGTAGCTTGTTTGGTACAGAAAAGCAGGATTGAATCTAGATATTATATTGGTAAAGAACTAAGTGTGATCAGTGTTCCTTTTACAAAACAACAAATTGATTGGCTTTTGCAAAATAATGATTCATGGGCAATTGCCTTTTCTCAGCTTTTAGGTCAAATTGATAATCAGTTTCCAGCTGATCAATTGTTGCAGTTCACCAAAATGCATTCCTTTGTATTTCCTAAGGTTGTGAGGAAAGATCTTGTAAGAGATGCTATGCTAGTTTTTACTGATGGTTCCTCCAATGGGAGGACTGCTTATGTTATTGATGGTAAAAGCTACATAGTACAAACAACCCCAGCTTCAGCACAGATAGTAGAATTGAGAACAGTGACTACAGTTTTTCAATTTCTTGTAGATAGTTCATTTAATTTATATATAGATAGCCATTATATTTATAGAGCTCTTCAAGTTATAGAAACTGTTCCATGCATTGGGACTAGTAACAGTCAGGTTAGGATGCTGTTTCAACAAATTTAAGATGCTATTCACCAAAGAGAGCTACCATGCTTTGTGGGTCACATTAGAGTTTATTCCAACTTCCTGGCCCTTTAGCTGACAGTAATGCTTCAGCTGACAAATTAATATAGATGATTGCCTTATTCCAAGTAGAATTAGCTCAACAGTCACAAGTTTTTCATCATCAAAATAGCAAAAGTCTAAGAAAGTAATTCAGTCTTACCAAAGAAGTTGTTCAACAGATAGTTAAACAATGTGGGGTGTGTCTGAAGCATTTTCCTGTATCTCACTTGGGGGTAAACCCTCAAGGTCTTCTTCCTAATCATTTATGGCAAATGGATATCACTCATATTGTGGAATTTGGCAAATTAAAATATGTACTCATGACCACTGACATTTATTCAGAATTTTTAATGGCCAGTGTACAATCTGAAGAAGCTACCAAAGTATGTAATTTCTCATTGCCTGGAATGTTCCTCCTATATGGGGATACCAAAAATTATTGAAACTAATAATGGTTCTGGATATAGTAGTAAAGCATTTCAGCAATTTTGTTTCTGATGGCAAATTGAACACAAAACAAGCATTCCTTATAATCCTCAAGGGCAAGGCATTGTTGGGAGAACTCATGGCAGTCTCAAGATGAAGCTTCAAAAAATTAAGAGGAGGGAATTGTACCCTCAGTCACCACACAATGCATTGAATCATGCTCTTTTTGTTCTGAATTTTTTTTTTAATGTGGATGTCCCTGAGCAATCTGCCACAGATAGTTTTGGCACAGTGGCACCCAAGTGACTTTTGCTCAGGTGAAAAGGAAAGATCCTTGCTTGGTATTATGGAAGGGTCCCGACCCTGTTTTAATATAGGGTTGAGGGCATGTTTGTGTTTTTTCACAAGATGAAAATGAACTTCGATGACTGCCTAAGCACTTGGTGTGGTGTGTGGAACAGAGGAATGTCAGCTCTGATGACACCATAGCTGCTGGTGTTCCTCTAGAGGAGTTGGAGTGAGAGCAGCTGAATCAGTGTTCTTGATCCACTGATGTTCTCCTGCAGTCTGGGGAAAGAAGGAGACTACACAGTCCCCCAGACTGCTGAGAAGGAGTTTGGTATAAACATTTTGTCACTATTGGCATTCAAGGACTGAGACTGTGAAAGCTGGAATGAAATGGAGCCCAGAGCCACACTGCTTCTGGTTGCTAGTAGCAAACCAGTGCATGGCTCCTATAAGAGATGGTTCCTGACTCCTACTAGCTGAGCAGAAAGCTTTTTGAAGAGTTTTACAGCAGCTCAGTACAGTAATTCCACCTTCCACCTAGGGCAGCTCTCCTAGGGAAAGCTAACTGAAAGTGCCTCTGTGGCTGAGAGAGAGGCTTCAGAGACACTTGTTTCAACTGAGTTGAGTTGTCACATTCAGGGGAGCTGCAACAAATTTGGGTAATGAGACTCCTCATATTTGGAAGTATTTGTCTAAGAGTTATTACGACTTGAACTGCTAAAAGGGACTTCAGGGCAGCTGATAAGCCAGGCCCTGATCTTGGGCGGTCAGTGGAACTTTAAGACTGTTATCAGAACTGACTTTTTGAACTTTTGCAAACCTCAGAAATGGGATAATTTTGATTTCACCTACAATTTTAACTGTGGTGACTCACAATTCATATACTCTGTCTTGTTAGAAGAAAATGTAAATAGTTCTGTTAAGAGATCACATTTGAATGTTTGCTACAGTTTGTAAAGTATAAACAGCCCTATTGAGAGTTGGCTTTTGGATGTAAGTTTATAAGAATTGTAAATATGTATCGTAATATTCACATTAGAATTATGTTAACCTGTTAATATTAATGAACCATGGTTTGGTGAAGCTAAGGGAGTCTTTAGGTTTCATATGGATGCATCAGGAGTTTACAGATTTATTTGATGCTGTTGCATCAAGAGTTTATTAAAAAAGGTCTTGGTGCAGCTGAGGCTGCTATAGACATCCTAGACCCATTGAAAAAGGACATTCCCTCTTGGTCATCCTTTACTCCTTTACTGAGAGATGTGGCAACCTGAGGTAGCAGGAGTATTGCTGTGGTTGTTCCAGCTATTTGCAAGCTCTTAGTAGGGACCTGAGTCAGAACTTCATAGAATTAAGCTCTGTATTTTCTCCTGCTAGAGGCTGATAGTCAGAGATGGGTAAGTCTTTCTTGCTAGCTGCAAACCTAAGACAGAGTATACTTGACAGAAAGTGTATCTCCATGATGTGTAAGGCTGATTAATAAAGAAGAAGATGACCTAAGACAGACACAGTTTACCTGAGAGGTCTGAGGGGCCCTTTAAAATATTAAGAAGGGGGAATTTGTGGAGGCCCAAACTACTCAAGGTTTGAGAATCTGAGCTTGCTTTACCCAGCAGGGCTGCATAAGGGCATGATTTCACTACGAACATGGTTACCAGGTGTTTGGAAGGGTCTACACTTGGCTGTGCGGTGTGCTTCAATCTAGAAAGGAGGAGGTCTTTTGCCCCACCTCTTGGCATTGTTATAAAAAGCTCTTTTGAATAAATGGAAAAGGCCATTGGGTATTGACCCAGGTCCTCCCAAAGCTATCCTATGTTTTTGTCTTTCTCTTCTTCACTATCTTTCTATCTAATATTTTCTTATCCCTCTCTCCTCCTTATAGGAACCCTTGAAAATGTAGGAGCTGGCCTCCCACAGAATATGGTTCTATCATCAAAGAAATATATGACTAGTGATTGTTAAACTATTATCACATATACATGTTTATACATGCAAGAAGTTAATAAGATTTTTGATATTAACATTTAATATAGGAGCATTATTCATTCTAACCAGAATACCAAAATTAGTATTAAGTAATGTAAGTAGTAGTATTCAACATCTAATCAGTTTGTAGTTTTACTTAGACCTGCTAATCATATTAGCCAAGTTTCCACATTAGGCTGTAGACATAGTTCTCAAGAAAACAGGATGCCTTATCATATGTTGTGCTTTTCTCTAGACTGGGATATTGTATCAAATAATCTGGATCCTCGATGGAGTTGAAATGAGTCTAACTGAGCAACTAGAGTGGTGAGAAAAATGGTTATGTTCTTGGGACTGTGCAGGGATGGTTTAGACAGTACTTCTATTTAGGATTTACTATTTGAGACAGACTTTGGAATGTTCCAGGAACTTTCCCACAGGAAGAGAACTCACCGCATTCATTCCTTGCCCAAAAAATGGGACAATGGCATGAGCTGCATCTCCCATCAGCACACAGTGTGACTTCAGGTGGAAGGGGGAACACTTCACTGATATCATGGGCTGGGCAGGCAGCAGGAAGAAGTCTCTCATGAGGCCTTGCCTTTGGATGAAAGCAATCAGAACATGAACAGATTAATTGGGGCCAAGCATTGCTAAGTTCTAACAGACTTGTTGGCTTCATTGCCATGGTATTTTGATTAAAAAAAAACACAAACCAAGAATGCAGAAGTAAACAGCAAACAAAGGAGGGAGATGTAGTTCAGTGGGATAATGCTCATCTAATATATACAAGGTCCTGGGTTCAATCCCCAGAACCAGGGAAAGAAGAAAAGAGAAAATGGTTTCTTTTAGAAATAAATTCTGCTATTCTAGGCTACAGAGAAGGCTAATTTGGTAAAGGCCAGCTGTGCAAGCATGAGGACCTGAGTTCAGAGCCTTAATTTCCATGTAAAAGTCAAGTATGGTGGCACTCAAGTAAAACACAGGACGTGCCTACAGTATGTGTCTATAATCCCAGCTCTGGGTGGGAAACAGAGATAGGAAGACCTATGGGGCTGACTGACCATCATTCTACTGCCAGAATTTGAGCATTTATTCCCTGTTCTTCAATCAATATTTTCTTATGTTCTTATGAGCCAAGATGTTTGTCAATGCTCTGTAGAAAAAATTCACAAGCTACTTTTACTTGGAATATATTTCAATCACCAGGACAATATTTGACTAGTGAGTGGCTAAACTGTCTATCTATCAGGCCCCAGGTATACACCTTGCTGGCAAGTCAGTCTAGCCAATCAAGAAGCTCTATGTTCAGTGAGAGACCCTGTCTCTAAAAATATGGTGGAGAGTAACTGAGGAAGACACCTAAATATCAGCCTCTGGTCTCCAGAAACATGCATGTATGTGTGGGTATATGTACATTGGACTGCCCTCACATGGACATATATACATACATGTGCACTTATAACACAAACATGTATACACACACAATTCCACTGTTCTAATTACCATTGTTTTTGGTAAAGTTAACCACATAAAAAGGATAAATCTGGCAACATTTGAATAATTTGAAATATGTCTGTATATCATGTCATAAAAGCATTATTATGAAAATGGACCATACTGTTTTCAAATGTATTATTATATTTTAGGCCATTTTCAAACACACTAGTATATTTTAGACTCCTGTGTAAATGCTGAACAAATGCTACAGTATATTTTACTAGACCACAGCAAATAGAGATTAATGTGAATTTTTATGTTTTAGGAAATGAATAACAGTAATCAAAATCATGTCTGAGGAGGTTGGAATAAGTTGACCAATGGGTACAAGATTTCAGTTGAACTGAAGTAAACTCCTCATCTCTATTGTTGAACACGAAGTCTGGGATAAACACAAAGAAAACCCTGATAGTTATAAAACATCAACAGAGGTTTCAGAGAAACTATAAATATGAAAACACTACATGTCCTCAAGAATGTTAAATCCGAGGCCAGCAAGATGACTCAGCAGCTGAAGGTCCTTGCTGCTGAGTCTGATGACCTGAGTTCAGTCCCCAGGAATCACAAGATGGAAAGCAAGAACTAACTGCCACAAGTTGTCCTCTGACCTTCACGTGCCACAGTGTCCCCCTTTCAACAAATAAATAAATACATAAATATAATTTTTTAAAAAATTAAAAAAGAATATTAAATCGGTCTAAAGATGTAAGAAATAGCCATGGAACAATTTAAAACTACACGGGATCTAAATTTGGTGTGCAGGTAGGTTCTTTTCAAGGCTGGAGGGCTGTAGATCTCTCTATATAGATCAAAAGCCCGTGACAGTTGGCACTTTGCAAGCCCTATTGGGCTGAGGCTGCACTTTCCATTTTTCACAGGTAGTTGTGGATTTTGTAACCCTACCATCAGGAAGACACCTTGATTATCATCTCGGAGGTACATGTTGGGAAGAAAGAGGCTGACTGGGTTGAAATCTTGTTGTAAACCAGGTCTGGTGGCACATGACTGTGTTTTCAGCACCAAACGCTGAGGAACAAGGATTATGGGTTCCACATCAGCTTGGGTTACAGCAGGGAGGCCCTGTCTGGAAAACAAAAACTCCTGCTCTTCTTTGGCCTGATTGTTCACGCGCCCCAAGTTTCATGTGTGAAATCTGAATCCTCAGTATGATGGTAGTTGCAGCCAGGAACTTGAGAGGTGATTCACTCATGAGCCTGGAGCCCAAATTGAATCCAATTTGTGCCCTTACAAAATAGACCCAAGGGAGATCCATGTCCCTTCAGTCACAGAAGTTCTCACAAGCAGAAGGCGCCTTCTGTGAGCCAGGAAGAAGCTCTCACCAGCCATAAACCTTCTGGTGCCTTGACTTTGAACATTTCAGCTTCTAGAGCTGGTTGAAATGATCTCTCACCTCTAAGTCACCCAGTGTGTGGCAGTTCTGTTGCAGCCAGCCTATACAGGTGGCACTATTTCTGCAGCACGGTTCTGTCTCCCTGGAGAGGACACTGGAGTGGAAAGTGAGCTAGGTGTTTGTTTTGTAGAGGGGTGTGTGTGTGTGTGTGTGTGTGTGTGTGTGTGTGTGTGTGTGTGTGTGTGGTATTTGGAGGAAGCAGAGTCCTTAAGTGAGAACATACAGCAAAGTCCATGTGGAGGGTGATGCTGACATGGGCCATATGAGGAGCAGATAATAAACCAGCTAGCTAGTGAACTCACTGAGCCTTGGTGGGGCAGAACTCAATCTGTGTGAGCCCTGTACTGAACAGTGTATAGGATGACCTTACTTAGTCTGCAACAACCTGCCCAGGGTGGGTAATATCATTTAGCAGCATTTCACCATGAGAAGCCCTGAGCATAGGAAAACACACAGCTAGGAAGGGGACAGGCCTGAGACAGGCATCTGCTGTGTCACATACCAAGCCCAGGAGCCTGGGGAAAGTCTAGGGACACTGGTACTTGTGTTTCTGGAACAAATTAGGCATGATTGTCCCAGAATCTCTACTCCTAATGTTCGTTTACAGCTAGTGCATTTTAAGAGCAATTTTCAAGAAAAGTCAGAACAGTTTTGTTTGGATTTGGAATAACTCAACCCAAAGAAATGAAGGTACAGTTTCCAGCTGAGACTCACTCTCCCATCAGAGGGATAGCATCTGGAAAGTTCCTCTGGAAGAAGTCCAGCACATCATCACTTGTCAGGAGTTTTTCAAACTCTTCGAAGGGCATGAACAAGGTGCATGTGAAAGATTTGTCCTGTGAAGGAGAAGAACAGGGTGATAGAGAAAAGAGACTGTGGGGTTGGGGATTTAGCTCAGTGGTAGAACGCTTGCCTAGCAAGCACAAGGCCCTGGGTTCGGTCCTCAGCTCTGGAAAAAAAAAAAAAAGAAAAAAAAAAGACTGTGATGCTGGCACTAGGAGTGGACCCCTAAACCACAGGACCCTCGCTGGGACTAAGGATCTCCTGGAGAACATCCAAGCCAGCTTTGTCCACTTTTTTTCCTGGAGGAAAGCTGCTCCACCATGTCTCAGAGGTGTTCCTTGCTTCCCGGGTCACTCAGAGTATTGCTACTGTGTAAACCGTCCATGTTCACCAAGTAAACACCGCAGTCCTTTGATTGTTTATAGATGGTTTCATGTCATTGTTTTCCTCCTCTTTTTCTTCCCCTTAAGATAGTATTGATCAAGGCTGGCTGTGGTGGCACACACCTTTAATTCAGCACTCGGGAGGCAGAGGCAAGCAGATCTCTGTGAGTTCAAGGCCAGCCTGGGCTACAGAGTGAGTTTCAGCCAAAGCTACACAGAGAAATTCTGTTTCGAAAAACCAAAAAAAAAAAAAAAAAAAAAAAGTCTTGATCCTATGATAGACAGCAACAGGAAGAAAACAACTACCACAGAACATAGTTAGCTAGAGATATAAAGAAAAAACCCTGGAGACAAATGAAAGCACGCACACACGCACGCACGCACGCGCACACACACACGCACCCTAGTGTCCCACAGACCTTAAAGACTGGAATTGCTTTCTAATACTCAACCTAAATCTCTTTGGCTTTACTGTGGCACCTGCTCCTAGACTGCCTCTGATTGAAATGACAGCACCCTAGATATGAACTCTTCATTGTCCATGTCAGTATAGTCTCCTTTCTAAAGTAAATACTGAACTTGCTTCTGGTTTTTCCTCAGAAGCCCAAAGCTTCAAAGACAAAAATCATTAAATAGATTAAATAATGATGAGATCAACTAGGTTACATAAACAACCAACACAAAAGTAAGAACTAAAAATATCAATTATAGATATGTAAGTAACTGGCAGGAATGTGCACATTACCATATTGGGAAGGGCAATCATCATAAAGGCATTTCTCGGCCAGATATGAAGAAAATTAGGTTCCATGGCATACTGTAGGACAAAGAACACAAGTTCGATTAGCAAGTCACTCATCTCTACCACAGCTTTGCACTGCTTCTGAAGTAATAGACCCTTCCCATAGATATGGTGCATTGCATGTGTGTTACTGCGTGAAGTAGATGCTGTCTTAGAAGATACTTAGGGTTCTGTCTTTATACATTCAAACTTAGGCAGGTTTTTTGTAACCATTTATTTCGAGATTTGAGACTATACTATAATAAGCTATTCTTTCTCTTTCCCCCATCTTTCTATACATATAAATATGCATGTCAATATGCATATGTATGTATGTGCACATAAAAAATATATAGAACACACATGTGGGTAGATGTTTGTGTGTGCAGGATTGTGTTCAATAATTTTACATTTAGTGCTTTTATAGACCGGACAGACAAGTCTTGAGTTCAAGTAGTAAGAACAAAATGGAAGGAACAGCGGTCTCCCGGCTCCCCTTGTCATGAAGTAGCAAAGTCACTCTGTCTTAGAAGGGTCTGTAGTCGCCTGACTTTGCCGTTCTTCCATTGTCTGTTTTGTATTTATTTGTTGTTGTTGCTTCTGCCCCAGAACCCTAAACAAAGTCTAAAACCCAGACACTGAAGAGAATCAAGTGCCTAACTGTTTGATTTCAAAGATTACACAAGGACAGAAGTACAGATCCCATGAAAAGCCAAGTCGCTTAGCCTTAGTAATGTAAGAGGTGGGAAGTGTGAGTGTTTCAGTGCTGGCTGAAAGTATGGGGAGTAGCGGGTTGACGTGTAAATAGTGCAAACAGCCCCTTGTATAGAAGACCAGAGCACAGGCGAACTAAGCAGGAACCAGCAGGGCTTTGGTACAGCTTCACAGCTAAACCAGACAGATATGCACCTAGCACTTGGATGGGAGTGGAGTGAATACTCTGTCTGTCTCTTCTGCCATCTATTGTATTTTTCACCACTCTCTAGTCTTTTCTGAACTCTAGAATGTAAGACAAGGAGGAAAATAACAAGAGAAGCTAACTTGGTTTCCCAACGTTGGCAGCATCGCAGGTCAGAGCTTGATTAAAATAGTGAAGAAGACAACACTTAGGTTTTGTCTTTCTCACTGACACAAAGGATGGCTTGTGTGTCATGGCAAGAACAGCGTGCTACCGAGAACACATGGTAGTTCACAAATAGTCCTCAAGCCTAGAAAACAACCGTAAACCTCAGCTTCTTTATTACCAAGCCACACTCGAGAGAGAGGCCTGCATGGGACGGCAGGCTGAGGGCAGCTCTTACTTGAAGTCCCTCAAAACGTAAGTCTAGATAGCTTTCTGATTGTGCCCTAACAGCTCTGCATTACGTCTGGGAGTATGGAAGGAGAGGCGGGAAGAATGTGAGAACGGGAGGGTGCTGAAGAGGGCTGTGAAAAGGTGTTTCTGAACGTGGCACGGCTATTGCACTCCTGAGCTCACAGCTACTCGCACAAGATCTGCACAAAATCGAGGCATCTTAAGTTTCCATATAGATAAAGGAGATGATTTTCAGGCATTGTGGCTTCCTGTAGAACTCTGGCACCTGGTAACGCTAGAGGAGGGAGAGTCTTTCTTCTTGGAGAGTAGGGCCACTCATAAGTTTCCTGTGTTTCAGTGGATGATTCCATATCCATGGGCATATGAGCAGCACTAACTGGACTTAGTGTGTGAAAAAATAATGAAAATAAGAATAAAAGGAGGAGGAGGAAGAAGAGGAGATGAAGCCAGGAGGGGTGTGTGTCGAGAGGAGATGGGGAGTTAAGTCATTGTATACATGTAAAAAAATCCTCAAAGAATGAAATAAAATACAAGCTTCAAGGTAAAGCAGGAAAGCTAAGTTCACAAACCTTTAAGAAATGAAAAGAATAGAAGATATTTTCCTAATAATACCCAAAGGCCTTGCATCCAGTCTCTCTTCCCACTCCGCACTTCAGAGGTGGAGGGCAAGTTGTACATTAAAAAAAAGAGAAAGAAGAGAGGAAGGAAAGGTGCAGGAAGTTCCAGGAAGTGAACGAAGCTGATTTTCCACAAAGACTATACGTTTTCTCACAGTTTTTGGTTCCTAGATTTTACTTAGATGCATAAAATCGTGCATATATATGGCAAGAAAGTAGAAGTAAAACTGTGTAAGGGACAAAGTGGGAGAGGAAAAAAGGGCAGAGGGTCCTGGGGAAGAATATGCTGAGTACACAATACATGTCCAAAAGCTTAAATATATAAATAAATACTCTTAGAAGAGAGAAATAAAAAAAAATCACTGTCTAGGATTGTTTGGGGGCTTGTTAAAATGTCCTTGTGTTTGGGCCACATTTGTCTCAAGACACTGTAGCTTGAAAAAATGAGACTTTTTAAAAGACTATTAATCATTACTAATAATTACATGTGACTGAAACGTAAGTGATTACCTCACAGCTGCCTTATTGGGTACTTTTTTTTCTTACGTCAGGGCTGGCCTGTCAACAGAACTATCTCACCCTGGAATCCAGTTATCAGCTCTCCAACCGTGAGGTCAGGACCCTCATACAGCAGGCACAGGGAAATCAGTGGAACAATTCGACGAGGAGGAAGTTTGTTCATATTTCCTTTACCAAAATAAGTTTCTATGTTTGATTATGACAGAGTAAAGTAGTTTTGTTTTTAAACATAAAATTTTAGAGGCCGGCCCCCAGCTCCCATCTTGCTCCGGACTTCCCTTTTACAACACTGGTGAGTACCCTTCCTTGCCCCAGACCCCATCCCTGGGCACCAGCCACTCCAGGGAAGACCTGCCCAACTTGGCCCCAGGTTCTGGCCACCGGGCAGGTTCCCTGCTAGCCCCACCGGGAAGGATCCCCTTCTCCAAGACCCCTGGCAGACCCTGCAGTCTCCACGCCCTGCCCCCACGCCCATCCGCCTGAGCCCCAAGCCTCTTCCTGAGACTTTGAGGCCGGCCCCCAGCTCCCATCTTGCTCCGGACGTCCCTTTTGGAACACTCGTGAGTACCCTTCCTTGCCCCAGACCCCATCCCTGGGCACCAGCCACTCCAGGGAAGACCTGCCCAACTCGGCCCCAGGTTCTGGCCACCGGGCAGGTTCCCTGCTAGCCCCACCGGGAAGGATCCCCTTCTCCAAGACCCCTGGCAGACCCTGCAGTCTCCACGCCCTGCCCCCACGCCCATCCACCTGAGCCCCAAGCCTCTTCCTGAGACTTAGAGGCCGGCCCCCAGCTCCCATCTTGCTCCGGACTTCCCTTTTACAACACTGGTGAGTACCCTTCCTTGCCCCAGACCCCATCCCTGGGCACCAGCCACTCCAGGGAAGACCTGCCCAACTCGGCCCCAGGTTCTGGCCACCGGGCAGGTTCCCTGCTAGCCGCACCAGGAAGGATCCCCTTCTCCAAGAACCCTGGCAGACCCTGCAGTCTCCACGCCCTGCCCCCACGCCCTGCCCCCACGCCCATCTGCCTGAGCCCCAAGCCTCTTCCTGAGACTTAGAGGCCGGCCCCCAGCTCCCATCTTGCTCCGGACGTCCCTTTTGGAACACTTGTGAGTACCCTTCCTTGCCCCAGACCCCATCCCTGGGCACCAGCCACTCCAGGGAAGACCTGCCCAACTCGGCCCCAGGTTCTGGCCACCGGGCAGGTTCCCTGCTAGCCCCACCAGGAAGGATCCCCTTCTCCAAGACCCCTGGCAGACCCTGCAGTCTCCACGCCCTGCCCCCACGCCCATCCTCCTGAGCCCCAAGCCTCTTCCTGAGACTTAGAGGCCGGCCCCCAGCTCCCATCTTGCTCCGGACTTCCCTTTTGGAACACTGACTTCCCTTTTGGAACACTGGTCTGTCTGAATCAAGTGTGCGGATAAGGCCAAGAACGAACCACAAGGAGATGGGCAGACGTCAAGGCAGAAACATATACAACAAAATGAATAGCAATACAGCATCACCAGGCCCTAGCCCTCCTCCAACACCTAGACCTGAACACCAGAAATTGGAAGAAGCAGAAGAAAACAGCCTTATGAATGACATCATGAAGAAGCTAGAGGCTTGCGTAGAGGAAAAGACAAAAAAATGTGAAGAACGCTGTAAACAACTAGAGGAAAGGGCAAACAAATTAGAAGAAATCAATAAAGTCCTGGAAGAAAACAATAAAATACTGAGAGAAAATCAAGAAAAATCAATGAAACAAATGAAGGAAACAGTCCAAGACCTGAAAAGGGAAATAGAAAAAATGAAGAAGACACAAACAGAGGGAATGCTGGAAATAGAAAATCTGAGAAAACGATTGGGAACTTCAGATGCAAGTATAATCAACAGAATGCAAGAGATGGAAGAGAGGATCTCTAGCGTTGAAGATACAGTAGAAGAAATACATTCATCAGTCAAAGAAAACACTAAAGCCAACAAAGTCATGAACCAAAATGTCCAAGAAATTTGGGACACCATGAAAAGACCAAACCTAAGAATAATAGGGGTCGAAGAAGGAGAAGAATACCAACTCAAGGGCACAGAAAATATATTCAACAAGATCATAGAAGAAAACTTTCCCAACTTAAAGAAGGAAATGCCTATGAAGATACATGAAGCTTATAGAACACCAAACAGACTAGACCCCCAAAAAAAGTCCCCTCGCCACATAATAGTTAAACAACTAAACGTACAGAATAAAGAAAGAATATTAAGAGCAGCAAAGGAAAAAGGCCAAGTGACATATAAAGGCAAACCCATCAGAATAACACCCGATTTCTCAATGGAGACTTTGAAAGCCAGAAGAACCTGGACAGATGTAATGCAGACACTAAGAGACCATGGATGTCAACCTAGACTAATATACCCAGCAAAACTTTCAATCACCATAGATGGAGTGAACAAGACATTCCATGACAAAGCCAGATTTAAACAATACTTATCTACAAACCCAGCCCTACAGAAAGCACTAGAAGGAAAATTCCAATCTAAGGAAGTCAGATACACCCTCAAAAACACAGGCAACAGATAAAGCCACAGCAGTAAACCCCAACGTATAG